CCAGAGGATACAGGTCAAACTCCACTAGACGTTCAGGATAGGGAAGGTGTTGCATTCCAACCACCGCTTTCGTCGCCGCTCTTTGAACTCGCTCAAGAGCATCACGATCACGGATCACCACTTGATTGCCATATTCTAGGAGGGGACGGATATAGGTGCCGTGAATGAGTGGAAATTCGTTCTTGGTGATATGGGGAAAAGACCTTCGAAAAAGGCGAGGAACACGAAAGGCAGATTTGCTGGCTAACTGGTTATTGTGTGAAAAAGAGAGGTTACTATTTAACCAGAAGCCTAGGACTTTGTGCAAGTGGGTATGCTGAAGAGGTTGCGTGCCACTTATATGAAACGAGACGGGAAGGGAGTTCACAAAGTCATTCCTACATACTTGTCATCATTGATCGCAGATTCCATTCAACGGGCCAGTGTTTTACAGCATCAGTAGATACCTGTAGCGTGAAGGTATCAGTGCCCCAGATAGTGACATCGTCTGCGTACAAGTGAAGGGGCAGTTACTTCTGTTCCGTCTGGTAACTTGAGGGCAAGAGAGGGGTTAGATGTACCACACAGTCGACGGATATACTTGTAGAGGAACGGTCTGTTCTTTTGAGCCCGTTCAAGTATAGCTCTTTGAGTGCGCAGTTTGTAGTCTCTAATATATGAGCGGCAGATGTTCGTGAGCCTTTTGAAGGCTAGACCATCAGTCTCGAGTCCCGTTTGCTTGTATCTTGCAAACAGTCTAGACCGCTCATCTAAAAGCCTGCGGATGGGACGAGGAAGAGGTGGTTTAGAGCTAGTGTGCGAGAACCCGGGGGACAAACCTCTCGTCAGCTGACGTGACGATTCGTTGGATATGTTCTCTGAGATTGTATACGGGCAGGTCCAGCGAAAGGCTGTTAAACTGTGCCCTGAGAAACTCTCTTAAGGGACTGAAGTTGGTACGCTTGAAAAATCGGACCATTTGTGGACACTCCATTTTGGTTGTCCACTCCGTAGTGAAGTCAAATAGCAGGACCACGTGGTCACTGTTTCCGAGAGGTGAAAGGTGATTTGCCACGTCGATCTGGTTGTCTTCATTCGTTATAACCGGATCTAGCAATGAAGGAGCCTGACCCGAGCGGAACCTCGTAGGTTGATCTACGTGTTGAGTCCAGGAGTTTTCTAATACTAGATCGATAAGAGGACGACCAAAAGAAAGGTCGGAAGAGTATATTCTGAGCCAATCAAGACCATGGGCATTGAAATCACCAGTAATTAGATGGTGGGTGAAGGGATGGGTGCCACTTATTGCCCTTAATTGGTCAATGAGTAGTTGGCTTTCGATGAGGGAACCCTGCGGGGGACGGTACACGACTCCAAGTAGGAGTGTGACTGACCTTGAGAATTTGAGTTTAAACCATAAAGTATCTATTGGGTGTATTGGGTCGACTGGAATAAGAAAGGGAGGAGGGTGAGCGCAACTAAAACAAGCTATGACACCACCTGCACTACCCCGAGCCGAGTCTGATCTTATCAATGCAAAACCGGGAATGGAGATTTCCCCATCTGGAACATTGTCGTTGAGCCAGGTCTCAGTGAGGATGATAACATGGGGGTGTTGCTCCAAGATAAGTTACTTCAATTCTAGAACTTTGTTTGGGAGGCTTAGACAGTTGCTGGAAATGCATTTATGTATGCATTCATCAACGTTCTTAGGTCCGGTAGGGTGCGGGGCGGGTGAGCGGTCGGAAGGGACATTAGTGGTAGTCGCTGTATAGTTTGAGTGTTCGGTGGTCGGGGGCTGTCTTGGGAAGGTATTTCCCTATCGGAGGGGCTTTCTTTATGAGCCTCTCCAGCGTTCGGCCTGTTACCCCCTTCGTCCGAAAAATTGCTCCGTTGTTGCAGTTATTGGGCTGTGAGGGTACACCGCACGAAAGACCATTTAATGGGTGGAGAGCTGGTCCTTTATCGGCCTTCGTCTCCTTTCGCGGTAGGTTCAAACGCACCTGTTTGCGAGTGGGAGGAACCCTCTTCTAGTGCTAGGTGGGGCCAGTGTGCAGACCGGGCTGGGTTTAATTTGCTTTTTACTTTTCGGCTTCTTTTGTCTCTTATTCCCAGATGCCTCGATTGAAGTCCGGTCGTGTTCTCTGAAACTATTGTTCGCTGAGCTGGCCGCCATTGGTTTGAGGCAAACTACAGTTTCGTCTAACGGTCTGGGGTCTGGGGAAGAGGGTCGGGACTTAAGAACCTTGGAGTCCAACCGAACTCTTGAGATGAAGGCGCTTCTCAATAGTTCGGTGTCTCTAGGGTCAACTTTGGGGCCTTTTTGCTTGGGCTGCGAGAGTCTCACGTGTAAAGGTTTGTCTATGGAGATACCTCTAAAATCTAACCAGGAGCGTTTGAGGGTGGGAGCTTGGTTGAGAATATCGTTGGCGAGCTTGGATGACCCTAAGTTCACAAGAAAGCCCAGCCGTCTCCGCGAACCTTTGGCGGTTAGCCAAGTACAGCTAAGAGGTTTGGACCAATGACGGTAGTTCAGTAAAGGAGATAACCGCCCGCATTTTCAAGGCTCCAGCAGCATACGCAGGACTGAGCTACCTTTGGCGTAGACGCGACGGTCGTTTTTATTTTGCTAGCATTCGTTCNNNTGCGAGTAGAAGATATCCGTCGACTAGAAGTTTTCGATTATCGGTGTTTACGCAGTTTAGCCCATGTTGGATGGAGCGAACGGGTTAGTAACGTGGAGGTAAGCCGTCGTGTGTTTGAGAGCCTGTCAGGCATAAACCTGCTAGCATATCAAATTCAGATTAATAGGCGTCGCTGGCTAGGGCACGTATTGCGTATGCCCAGCTATCGTCTGCCACACCGCGCTGTAGCTAATCCGGGCTGGAGGAAACCATGTGGCGGTCAACAGCTGACGTGGAGACGAGGCATGAAGAAATGCACAGAGCC